TTAATTGATTGCAACTTCCTTCAAAAATATGTTGAAATATTTGGCCAAACATTACAAACATACATATGATGTAAAGACATATATTAATATCAGTTACATAAAACGTACATGCATATTCTTTTATTACTCTTCAAACCACTTTGAAACGCTTCAAATTGATTACTTTCTATTTTATGGTAATTATGATAATTAGTATGTAAATATACACCCTTAATATTTGCGCATCGGTTTTATATTCAAAACTTGCACTTTGTGGTAACTGGTTTGGTGAGTGGATGCACACATTGGTGAGCCATGATAACTTTATTTTATTAAGTTTGGTAGATAAATATATCCAGACTGTGTGGTGAAGTCCTACATTATCTGCATACCTTTCCAGTAAGGAACAGTGAGTTCATATTCCATTCATTTGAGGTGCTTAAGGCACGAACTGCTATAAAATAAGTTGTCGAGACAGTAAGGGGATATAACTCTAAATACTATTCTTCTGAGGCCACTGTGTAATGAATTCATTAAGTAAAGTCATTCATTAATAGTTGTAAGGAAATATCATTTTTTGGTGTAGCAGACGCCCCTGAGCTCCATACAGTGGTGTGTGCAGAGTCTTCCATTATTCTAAAAACATTGCTTTATCATTATTCAGACAAATTCTTATTGTGTACTGGGGTGAAAATATATTTAATGAAAAGATTAATTGCATTATTTCGGTACTAAAATCTGATTTTGTAATTTTTTCAGGTGAGTGAATAAGCCAACTGTAACAGATAGATACAAGAGTTACCCCCCTTTCATTCAAGTAACACAAGCTCGCTGCCACCAGTGTGGGCGCGGCAATTACAGGAATCTTGAAATTTGCCCTCCAACCCCATATGTAGTAACGTTTATACTTTTGTTTATGTCTTTGGGAATGCCATCATATTTCAATTTGAAAAGGTTTACGACTGACCATGTTTTCCAGATGAATTTACTTTGTTGTTTTGATAATCAGATTGGTTCGAGATTGCAGACTAACGGAAAATCAACCAACTTCTCCCTTACATTCTTACTATATCAATAACACGATAGTTTTAATGAAACAGAAATTCAAATTGACAAACGAAGAAAGTAATTTAGCAGCGATAAGTGTATTCGGCGTCACGACAGTCGTCACTTGTTTTGTAAACATAACGGTCATTCGGTTGCGAGTTCAACTCCAAGCATGGTTGTGGCCACCTATTCACAGTGGGGAGTTTTGGCTGGTGGCAGCGATAGTAGAGAGAGCTCCGGGAACGTACTATCGCTGTGAGGAGTTTGCAAGTAACAGTTAATTCTCAACACCTATCGAAGTAATTTATCCCGCAATGAATGTATATTTGAAAAAAAAAATTGATGAAACATTTTTTCAATGCTATATCTAATAGTGGTCTTCTCTTATTCATCAGAAGGCAAGACTACACAATCGTCTAGGATCCCTAGTCATAACAAACAGAAGGGTGGGGTTGAGATGTGAAAACTATATATTTTTAGTTTAAAATTGACTTTTTGTCAAGTTATATCTTTTACGCCGACGTCATTCACATTATAACATATACAAAAAAAAAACTTTTACACATTTGAACCATGCAAAACGCGTAAAAATGAGAATGTCACAATTGACCAGTTTGTTCACAAATCGTCTGCTCATCAATATAGGCGGGTTGCTGCAGTAGCCCTCGAAGAAAATGGTTGCTTTTCTCTTCACGGCTCACCAAATCAAAAAAGAAAATCGTCGCGCCGTTGTAAGTTTCTTTGCGATTTTCACGGACTTTGAGAAACCTATTTTGAGCAAACCGCCGTATCGGAGTCGCACATCTCGTCTTCTCCTCAGCTTTATGACACGTGCTCAAGTCAGTTCCGCTCGGCACGTGCACCTCGTGCAAGCCGCTCAGTTACACGCAGTCACGTGGTATCCACACATTCGCTTTACCGCGTGTCCGTCATGTATCGCTTATAAGAAGGTGGGATTGGTTTGGTATGTTTGTGGTTTAACGCCGCACTCAGCAATATTCCTGCCAAATGACGGCGGGCTGTAAATATCGAGTCTGGACCAGTGATTGACATCATGAGCATCGATCCACGCAATTGGGATACGATGAAATGCATCAACCAAGTCAGCAAGCCTGACCAACCGATCCCGTTTGTTGCCTCCCCCGACAAGCATAGTTACCATTTACGGCAAGCATGGGTTGCTGGAGACCCACATTTAAGAGAATTAATTAAAAAAAACATGTCGTGAAATATTCTAAAATTAATGGACTATACAGGCGAAAGCGAGTCACAATCAACCAAGACACAATATACCTGCAGTGATTCCGGGTCAGGATAGCTCCCCAGGATATGCAGGTCGTAGGTCAGGATAGCTCCCCAGGATATGCAGGTCGTGGGTCAGGATAGCTCCCCAGGATATGCAGGTCGTGGGTCAGGATAGCTCCCCGGGATATGCAGGTCGTGGCTCATGATAGGTTCCCAGGATATGCAGGTCGTTTGTCAGGATAGCTCCCTAGGATATGCAGGTCGTGGGTCAGGATAGCTCCCTAGCATATGCAGGTCGTGGGTCAGGATAGCTCCCCAGGATATGCAGGTCGTGGGTCAGGATAGCTCCCTAGCATATGCAGGTCGTGGGTCAGGATAGCTCCCCAGGATATGCAGGTCGTGGGTCAGGATAGCTCCCTAGCATATGCAGGTCGTGGGTCAGGATAGCTCCCCAGGATATGCAGGTCTTGGGTCAGGATAGCTCCCTAGCATATGCAGGTTGTGGGTCAGGATAGCTCCCCAGAATATGCAGGTCGTAGGTCAGGATAGCTCCCCAGGATATGCAGGTCGTGGGTCAGGATAGCTCCCCAGGATATGCAGGTCGTGGGTCAGGATAGCTCCCCAGGATATGCAGGTCGTGGCTCATGATAGGTTCCCAGGATATGCAGGTCGTGGGTCAGGATAGCTCCCCGGGATATGCAGGTCGTGGGTCAGGATAGCTCCCCGGGATATGCAGGTCGTGGCTCATGATAGGTTCCCAGGATATGCAGGTCGTTGGTCAAGATAGCTCCCTAGGATATGCAGGTCGTGGGTCAGGATAGCTCCCTAGCATATGCAGGTCGTAGGTCAGGATAGCTCCCCAGGATATGCAGGTCGTAGGTCAGGATAGCTCCCCAGGATATGCAGGTCTTAGGTCAGGATAGCTCCCCAGGATATGCATGTTGTGGGTCAGGATAGTTCCCCAGGATATGCAGGTCGTGGGTCAGGATAGTTCCCCAGGATATGCAGGTCGTGGGTCAGGATAGTTCCCCAGGATATGCAGGTCGTGGGTCAGGATAGTTCCCCAGGATATGCAGGTCGTGGGTCAGGATAGCTCCCCAGGATATGCAGAATGTGGGTCAGGATAGCTCCCCAGGATATGCAGGTTGTGGGTCAGGATAGCTCCCCAGGATATGCAGATTGTGGGTCAGGATAGCTCCCAAGGATATGCAGGTTGTGGGTCAGGATAGCTCCCCGGGATATGCAGGTTGTGGGTCAGGATAGCTCCCCAGGATATGCATGTTGTGGGTCAGGATAGCTCCCCGGGATATGCAGGTCGTGGGTCAGGATAGCTCCCCAGGATATGCAGGTCGTTGTTCAGGATAGCTCCCAAGGATATGCAGGTTGGGGGTCAGCATAGCTCCCCGGGATATGTAGGTTGTGGGTGAGGATAGGTTACCAGTCTATGCAGGTTGTGGGTCAGGATAGCTCCCCAGGATATGCATGTTGTGGGTCAGGATAGGTCCCCGGGATATGCAGGTCGTGGGTCAGGATAGCTCCCCAGGATATGCATGTTGTGGGTCAGGATAGCTCCCCAGGATATGAAGGTTGTGGGTCAGGATAGCTCTCTGGGATATGTAGGTTGTGGGTGAGGATAGCTCCCCGGGATATTCAGGTTGTGGGTCAGGATAGCTCCCTAGGATATGCAAGTCTTGGGTCAGGATAGCTCCCCAGGATATGCAGAATGTGGGTCAGGATAGCTCTCCAGGATATGCAGAATGTGGGTCAGGATAGCTCTCTATGATATAAAGGTCGTGGATCATGATAGGGTCCCAGGATATGCAGAATGTGGGTCAGGATAGCTCCCCAGGATATGCAGAATGTGGGTCAGGATAGGTCCCCAGGATATGCAGAATGTGGGTCAGGATAGCTCCCCAGGATATGCAGAATGTGGGTCAGGATAAAGGTCGTGGTTCATGATAGGGTCCCAGGATATGCATGTCGTGGGCGGACTATAATTCGGCGACGTGGTTGACGCGTGTACCTCGACGACGTGGAACGTTACGGTGCTCATATACCAATCACGGGATTGTCTGGAATACAACACCAAATAAACAAAACAGTATCATTTCCGTCTAATTCCTCATATTGTCCGAGACCAGACCCACCACACACGTTATATATATATGGTCTCGGACAATCTGTACGTTTTAAAGCTCCGGTCTCTTCCTCAACCGTAATTACATTATCACGTGATCAGCTGATGCCATAAAACATACGTATGAAATTAACAATCCGGCTGTGATACATCCTCTCTGTACTTCATAACACTGCTCCATTTTTGTTTCACATTTCAAACATTATTTCACCAACTAGAACAAGACGATTACATTGTTCTGTGCTGACGTCACCGATTGATAACAAACGCATTGCACTCCGCCTCAAAGTACCCGGCCGAATCAGCTGTTCAATTAGCGCTTTACTTTTCCATTTTCTATGCTTGATCGATATCTACAGTGACACCTTGTCCAATAAACTATAAGCCAGGTGGGTATGCTTTCTCGGCAGTTCTGCTAAGCTGTGCGAAACACGCCGGCGAGCATCGTGGCGAGATATTAATTAACATCGCCAGCCAGGTAAACCGTTAGAGCACGAGCCGGTATCAACAACACCTGTCAAACTCGTCACGAGGGCATCCCCTGACGGAATCCCCTAGCTCATATTATCCGAACCCGCTGATTGGCTGAAATAAATAATACGTCACGGAAAACGGGAAAACACTAACAACATTCCTCGCGTGCTAGCTCGGCGAAATCCACCCTCCCGCAGCCCGTGAATGCTGCCTGGCGGTTTATGGGAAGAAGGTGCATCTGCCAGGGATCAGGTTTCATCAAGGGGGGCCCGATTGGCCGAACCTGCCTCTAAAAATACACCATGGCAGATATAACTCTGCGTCTCATTTGGTACAAACTCGGGGAGAGCTCAAGCAAGATGGCGGAAGCGGCAGCAACTTGGTACTCCAAGCTCCGATGGGAAGATCATTTCTTGGATATTTTGTTGATAGGCTGGTTTTGTTGGTGTTCAGTGATTGTCATTGTCATCAACTCGTTCGTATCTTTCGTGGGTCCTCTGCAACGTCGTCTGCCGTCGGAGACACTGCGCGTGAAGGAAGCCGGTGCTAAACCCGCCCTACCCAAGGGCCCCGGTATTGAGACCTGTCAATGGTTTAACACTGCACTAAACTGGTTCTATCTACACTATTACCATTCTGCGGACTTCTTGGACGAATGGATTAAGTCACTCAATGAACAGATGACCAAACTAGGGGTAAGTGCAGGAAACAATAATATGCATTATAATTACACACATTAATCTGATAAAAATATGTTCATATACGGATAATTATTACGATAATCATGTGATGATGCTTGCACAAAATTCACCCGAGAATTATCCAAGACCACATTGGGCACACCATATACGTATGTATACAGTGGCATAATGTTGTATGAGAACATATATGTGCACTGTCATAGAGTGTAATAACATATATATATACACCGGCATAATACAGTGCAAACACATGTATGCACTACCGTTATGTAGTATCGTAGTAATACACACTGGTATTATGTAATATAGTAACAATACATAATGCTATTATGTAATATAATAACAATATACTCTGCGATTATGTAGTGTAATATCAGATGCAGGCCTCAATATATTTTTTTTTCAGGAGCCATTTAGCTCCTAAATGTTTTTTTAAAGGAGCAAAAGAGTATTTTAGACAGACAAGAGCATATGTAGGGAGCCAGCTTTACAATCTGTAAATTAAATTAAGTCATGCTTCAACCAAACACAACACAAACGTTTGCTGGACCAAAGTCAATTCTATTGATAAATTCAAATCCACTTGTGGTAGAAGTCAGATTCTGTTTTTGTCAAGGCAAACGCTGGAGTAGTAACTAATCACAATTCCAATGACTCTCTAGATGCATTTTCTAGATTATCTTAGTTAATCAACAGTGGATTGTTTTGATCAAATGTCTTTTCAGCATGCTCACAGTCAGACTCATTGCACTGATTTTTTTAAGGTGGGCCGGAGGGCCTGGAGACTTTGACAATTGTTGGCCTTTTCATGAATATTGTAGAGCTGGTAGTAAATGTGATGCCTGTAAACATAAAAAAAACACAAAAACACATGAAGACTACGTAAAAATGCTGCGTGTTTAAACAGAATGTTTAAAACTTAACATGCTTAAGGCAGTTTCTGTTCATACTGTTTCATACTGCTTCCATCACATTGTCATTTTTAGGATAAAACTATTATAGTGGCAAACCTTGAGTTAATACCAGGGGCAAGCTGGCAACTGACATAAAAAACTGATCACAGAATACAAAAATAGATCGCTATAGCGATAGCGACCAAATAAGGTGCAAAATTGAGTGCTGATATGTATGCACTGCCGTTATGTAGTGTAATAGCATATATACTCACGCATCATGAAGTGTTGTTAAATATATCCACTGGCAATATGTAGCATAATAACATATCCACTGGTTTTATCATGTTTATGTAGTAATAACATATACACTGCCGTTATGTACTATAATAACATATATACACTCATTATACACATTATGTAGTGTAATAACATATAAACACTGATATCATGTATCGTAATAACATATATATACACAGGCATTATGTAGTGTAACAACATATATATACACTATCATTATGTATTGTAATAAAATAAATACTCTGGCATTATGTAGTGTAATAACATACACTCTCGCATTATGTAGTGTTATAACATTAATACACTGGCATTATGTATTGTAATAACATATATACACTGACATGGCGTGTAATAACATATATACATTGGCATTATGTAGTGTAATAACATAAATACACAAGCATTATGTAGTCTAATAACATATATACACTAGCATTATGTATTGTAATAATATATATATACACTAGCATTATGTAGTGTAACAACATATATACACAAGCATTATGTAGTCTAATAACATATATACACTGGCATTATGTAGTCTAATAACATATATACACTAGCATTATGTATTGTAATAACATATATACACAAGCATTATGTAGTGTAATAGGATATATACACCGGCAGTATGTATCATGATGTATTGTAATAACATATATACACTGACATTATGATGTGTAATAACTTATGTACACTTTTTTGTTGCTCTGTGGTTTTTTTTCACAAGACATTTTAAGAAGTTTAACAATTTGAAGAAAAATATTGTTTTATTTCTATTGTAATTATTGACCATATATATATTATAAGCTATTCACTTGTATTGTCAACACGTATGTGACCATTTTTTATCAACATGAAAATGCTGGTATTTTTGCCTGTGTGATAATGTCCATATCATGCAGCAACAACAACGATGCTGCGTATTCCAACATGTGTCAAGGGGATGTAGGTGAAGTGTCAGATGTAGGTCAGGTGGCAAGTTTATGTAGTAATAAGTTATAATCAATTGATACTGATGCTGGCCCAGTGAATGATCATCAGCCATGCATCAGTTAGGATGGCTAACTTGTTGCTTAATGGAGAAATCAATACCCTGGACGAGGAGGAGGATGAGGAGGAGGAGGTGATGGCAGCTCCACAGCATCCACCAAACTGTCAATGTATATTTCTTCAGTTTGGACCCTTAAGCAACTTTCAGAAACGATGAAAATCCACTTGTCCAAGACTACTGAATTATGCTGAGGACAAGTAAAGTTTCAGTGACAGTAATCCTGGGAGACAAGTAGTTTGAGGGCTTTAGATCTGAACCAGTTCTGTATGCTTCAATTTTGCTAAAAATTGGAACTGAGTAAAAGTGGCAGAAAAGGAAACATCATCATCATCATCATTGTCATCATCATCATCATCATCATCGTCATCATGATCTTAGTAAACAGTTTTGTTTCATGGAAGCAGAACTAGCTAAAAAACTTTCCACTAATCCACTGTGCAAGGCTTAAAAGCCTAAACTGGTATGTCTGCTGCATTGGTTCATGACCATGGTCTGATTCACTGTATGGAGTGAGTGAGTTTGGTTTTACGCTGATTTTAAGCAATATTCCAGCAATATTACGGCAAAGGACACCAGAAATGGGCTTCACACATTGTACCCATGTCAGGAAACGAACCCGGGTCTTCGGTGTGACAAGCGACCGCTTTAACCACTAGGCTACCTGACCGCCCCTCACTGTGTGTTGATCATTTATAAAACACTGTGGGTATCAGTTCATTATTCCGTCAGAGGATGTATTGATGTTGTCTTTCAACAACATGACACCAAAAGGAATTTCTGAACAAAACATTCAGCGTTTGTTATCGGTCTGATTTCTCCTAAAGTTGTACCAGAAAATACTTCATGTTTTATACACAAAAAGATTATTGTTAGCTGGGTGTCCTGACAGTGGGAAAACCATACTTTGGGCCAGCCATAGCATGGGTACCAGTAAGGCACCCAAGGCTGTATACTGTACTTTCAATAATCAGTGGTTTCAGTTGTATCATGGGTACCAGTAAGGCGTTCTAGGTTGTATACTGCACTGAGTGTAATCAGTGGTTTCAGTTGTATCATGGGTACCAGTAAGGCGCTCTAGGTTGTATACTGCACTGAGTGTAATCAGTGGTTTCAGTTGTATCATGGGTACCAGTAAGGCGCTCTAGGTTGTATACTGCACTGAGTGTAATCAGTGGTTGCAGTTGTATCATGGGTACCAGTAAGGCGTTCTAGGTTGTATACTGCACTGAGTGTAATCAGTGGTTTCAGTTGTATCATGGGTACCAGTAAGGCGTTCTTGGTAGTATACTGTACTTACAATAATCAGTGGTTTCAGTTGTATCATGGGTACCAGTAAGGCGTTCTTGGTTGTATACTGTACTTACAATAATCAGTGGTTTCAGTTGTATCATGGGTACCAGTAAGGCACCCAAGGCTGTATACTGTACTTTCAATAATCAGTGGTTTCAGTTGTATCATGGGTACCAGTAAGGCGTTCTAGGTTGTATACTGCACTGAGTGTAATCAGTGGTTTCAGTTGTATCATGGGTACCAGTAAGGCGTTCTAGGTTGTATACTGCACTGAGTGTAATCAGTGGTTTCAGTTGTATCATGGGTACCAGTAAGGCGCTCTAGGTTGTATACTGCACTGAGTGTAATCAGTGGTTTCAGTTGTATCATGGGTACCAGTAAGGCGCTCTAGGTTGTATACTGCACTGAGTGTAATCAGTGGTTGCAGTTGTATCATGGGTACCAGTAAGGCGTTCTAGGTTGTATACTGCACTGAGTGTAATCAGTGGTTTCAGTTGTATCATGGGTACCAGTAAGGCGTTCTTGGTAGTATACTGTACTTACAATAATCAGTGGTTTCAGTTGTATCATGGGTACCAGTAAGGCGTTCTTGGTTGTATACTGTACTTACAATAATCAGTGGTTTCAGTTGTATCATGGGTACCAGTAAGGCGCTCTAGGTTGTATACTGCACTGAGTGTAATCAGTGGTTGCAGTTGTATCGTGGGTACCAGTAAGGCGTTCTAGGTTGTATACTGCACTGAGTGTAATCAGTGGTTTCAGTTGTATCATGGGTACCAGTAAGGCGCTCTTGGTTGTATGCTGTACTGAGTGTAATCAGTGGTTTCAGTTGTATCATGGGTACCAGTAAGGCGCTCTAGGTTTTATACTGCACTGAGTGTAATCAGTGGTTTCAGTTGTATCATGGGTACCAGTAAGGCGTTCTAGGTTGTATACTGCACTGAGTGTAATCAGTGGTTTCAGTTGTATCATGGGTACCAGTAAGGCGCTCTAGGTTGTATACTGCACTGAGTGTAATCAGTGGTTGCAGTTGTATCATGGGTACCAGTAAGGCGTTCTAGGTTGTATACTGCACTGAGTGTAATCAGTGGTTTCAGTTGTATCATGGGTACCAGTAAGGCGCTCTTGGTTGTATGCTGTACTGAGTGTAATCAGTGGTTTCAGTTGTATCGTGGGTACCAACCAGTAAGGCGCTCTTGGTTGTATACTGTTCTTACAATAATCAGTGGTTTCAGTTGTATCATGGGTACCAGTAAGGCGCTCTAGGTAGTATACTGCACTGAGTGTAATCAGTGGTTTCAGTTGTATCATGGGTAACTTTTGACGATTGAAGAAACTATCGAGTTAGTTTTTTATTGACATTTTTAGATACAGTAGATCAGGGTTCACTCAAGACATATTTTGACATGGGCCCTTCATGTGAAAATTTCAAATATTCCCGTGGTACGCCCATACAG